TTCCTGCTGCTCCTGTCCAGTGTGGGGGATCCAGCTCTGGGGACCACATTCCACCCTAGCATCTAAAGGGGTCCAGATGATGAGTTGCACCAACAGGAGGTGAGGAGAGGTTACAGATGCCACTTCCATGCCAAGGCAGTAGAGAGGAGGTTCACTTCTCTACTTGTGTTAATGCAGAGCAATGGTTCTCAAAGTGCGGTCTTCAGAGCAGCACCAGCAGCACCTGGGAACCTGTTAGAGCTGTACATTCTCAGGACACACCCCAGACTTATAGGATTGAAAACTCTGGGAATAGAATCAGAGATCTGTAGTTTAACAAGCCCTCCAGGGAATTCTGAGGTAGGTAAGCATGAACCACAGGGTTGAGTGGAGCTATAAGATGGAGAAAAGCCACCTGCTGATCAAGAACACCTGATAGGGATGATACAGGAACAAGAAGTTAAATTTATTTTTAACCCATAAATACTCAGTGGCTTCTTTTTTAAAAATTTATTTTATTGAAGTACAGTTGATTTACAATGTTGTGTTAGTTTCTACAGTACAGCAAAGTAATTCAGTTATATAGGTATAGATATTCTTTTTCACATTCTTTTCCATTATGGTTTATCACAGAATATTGAATATAGTTCCCTGTGCTATACAATAGGACCTTATTGTTTATCGATTCTATATATAATAGTTTGCATCTGCTAATCCCAAACTCCCAATCCATCCCTCCCCCTCCCCACCTAGGCAACCACAAGTCTGTTCTCTATGTCTGTGAGCCTGTTTCTGTTTCGTAGATAAGTTCATTTGTGTCATATTTTAGATTCCACATATATGTGATATCATATGGTATTTGTCTCTTTCTGACTTACTTCACTTAGTATGGTAATCTCTAGGTCCATCCATGTTGCTGCAAATGGCATTGTTCCATTCTTTTTTAGGGCTGAGTGGTATTCCTTTATATATATGTACCACATCTTTATCCATTCATCTGTCAATGGATATTTAGGTTGTTTCCATGTCTTGGCTATTGTGAATAGTGCTGCTCTCAACATAGGGGGTGTGTGTATCTTTTTTTTTTTTTTTTTTGGCTGCATTGGGTCTTCATTGCTGCATGCAGGCTTTCTCTAGTTGCAGCGAGCGGAGGCTACTCTTCGTTGCGGTGCACGGGCTTCTCATTGTGGTGGTTTGTCTTGTTGCAGAGCACGGGCTCTAGGCACGCGGGCTTCAGTAGTTGTGGCACATGGGCTCAGTAGTTGTGGCTCATGGGCTCTAGAGCACAGGCTCAGTAGTTGCGGTGCACGGGTTTAGTTGCTCCATGGCATGTGGGATCTTTCCGGACCAGGGATCGAACCCGTGTCCCCTGCAATGGCAGGCGGATTCTTAACCACTGTGCCACCAGGGAAGTCCGCACGTATCTTTTTGAATTATAGTTTTGTCCAGATATATGTCCAGAAGTGGGACTGCTGAATGATATGGTAACTCTATTTTTAGCTTTTTGAGGAATCTCCATACTGTTTTCCATAGTGGCTGCACCAATTTACATTCCCACCAACAGTGTAGGAGGGTTCCCTTTTCTCTACAACCTCTCCAGCATTTGTTATTTGTAGATTTTTTGATGATGGCCATTCTGGCTGGTATGAGGTGGTACCTCATTGTAGTTCTGATTTGCATTTCTATACTAATTAGTGATGTTGAGCATCTTTTCATGTGCCTGTTGGCCATCTGTATGTCTTCTTTGGAGAAATGTCTATTTAGGTCTTCTGTCCATTTTTCGATTGGGTTGTTCGTTTTTTTGTTGTTGAGTTGTATGAGCTGTTTTTATATTTTTGTAACTAAGCCCTTGTCGGTCGCATTTCCAAATATATTCTCCCAGTCACTAGGTTCTCTTTTCCTTTCGTTTATGGTTTCCTTTTCTGTACAAAAGCTTGTAAATTTGATTAGGTCCCATTTGTTTATTTTTGTTTTTATTTCTATTGCCTTGGGAGACTGACCTAAGTAAAAGTTGGTATGATTTATGTCAGAAAGTTTTGCATATGTTCTCTTCTAGGAGTTTTATGGTGTCATGTCTTATATTTAAGTCTTTAAGCCATATTTTTAAAGATTTATTATTTTATTTATTTATTTATTTTTGGCCTCGTCGGGTCTTAGTTGCGGTACATGGGATCTTTGTTGAGGTATGCGGGATCTTTCGCAGCAGCACGCGGGCTTCTCTCTAGTTGTGGCACACAGGCTCCAGGGAACGTGGGCTCTGTAGTTGTGGCGTGTGGGTTCCAGAGTGCATGGGCTCTCTGTAGTTTGTGGCACACAGTCTCTCTAGTTGAAGCACACAAGCTTGGTAGTTGTGGCACAAGGGCTCAGTTGCCCCACTGCATGTGGGATCTTAGTTCCCTGACCAGGGATCGAACCCACGTCTCCTGCATTGGAAGGCGGATTCTTTACACTGGACCACCAGGGAAGTCCCGTTTAAGCCATTTTGAGTTTATTTTTGTGTATAGTGTGAGGGTGTGTTCTAACTTCAGTGGTTTACACATGGCTGTCCAACTTTCCCAACACCACTTGCTGAAGAGACTGTCTCTTTCCCATTGTATATTCTTGCCTCTTTTGTCGAAGAATAATTGAACATACATGTGTGGGTTTGTTTCTGGGCTCTCTATACTGTTCCATTGATCCATATGTCTCTTTTTGTGCCCCTACCACGCTGTTTTGATTTTCAGTGGCTTCTTAAAGCAGCTGGCTCGATACTTATTAATAGACTGTATTTCATGTAAGTTCCCAGTCTCTCAACCCCAGCCTTCCTCGGGCAACACATGAGACAAACTGCACTCTGAAGCTCATGGATATCTGGGAGCTGAAATGCTGACCCCTGGAAGGGCAGGTGACAGGAGATTGAGAGGGAATCAATCACCAGCAAGACACAGAGACTCTGGGACACTCTGTCCTGGAAAAATGGTAAAGAGCCAGTACCTAATACAGGGAATCTCTCTTATAATTCTCCCTGTGGGAATGCAGTCTTTGGTAAGAGTGGAGGTGAGCAGCAGTAGAAGCAGGGGAGGAGGAATAATATTGATCATGCCCTAATTTTACTTACTCCTAGTTCCAGTCTATCTTGATTCTCTACTCTGAGCTATAAAGCCTATGAAATTAGGCTACAAAGCTCCCCGCAGACATGCTGATGACTATAACAGGAGTACAGGAAGCAGGACCCAGCTGGATAAAACCATCCTTAGACTCACAAATGAGCAGGTTTAGACTCACCTCTCCCTCTAGGGCTTAATAAGAACCATGAATAGTTTCTAAGCCAAATGAGAAAATCGTGTTCTACAGAGCATGTTATATGCAACCCCACAGTCCCAAGGAGAGCAGAGCATAGGAACACGAAAGAACAAACCAAACATGTATTCAGTTGACATCAGAAATCTCCATACTCCATAACTGCCTCAACACAACTTGGGGTGAGCCTGAATGTGGCCACTGGAGCACTGGGAAGGGGGTTCTTAGACTGAGTTGCCCCAGGAGGGCTTGTGTGGCAGACGCTGGACATTCACAGATGCATCCACACTGGGCAGCCAGGGACCTTCTCCCAACCCAGACAGCTGAGTCAGATGTGGACAAGGCGATGCCTCCTCACTCTCTCCCAACAATCACCAAGCGGACTGGTTTAATAAACTGTCAGGTCTATAACGCTGTTTCACCGGTGATGATGTCCCTTCTTTGCTAGATGTTCTCCAAGATGTGGCTGAAGCATCATGAAGCATCACCTGGCAAGTCACTGGCCATCCAGTTGGGATGGTTTCACCCACTCCTTTCCAGCATGTAGAGCACAGTCATGGTGTAGGTGTGGATGAGTCCGGTTCCTTGAGCACCAGACTGGAAAACTTCCAGGGTTCCTTTCTTGCTGCCACTCTCTGTCATGTGGATCTCCACAGGGTCAGTGAATCCCAAACAGGTTTGAGGAAAGTGCATTGAGTAGGAGTGGAAGGTCAGATGCACAGCTAGTGTGAGACTCAGAAACGGGAGGGAGTGTGGGCCAGGGTGATCACGGGGTCACCAGGATGCCCAGAGGCAGCACCAGACACAGCGTTAGGATAAAGAACCTGCTGAGCCACAAGAGGACACCTTAATGATGTGATCAATGACCCAGTCTTTGTAGTAACTAACTTCTGTATAAACTGCAGGCAATTCTGTGTGACCACAGTGAACACCCCAGCTCACAATCCCCACCTGGACCCATGAGTCAGTAAATTGACTGACCAGGGAACCTCCAGAATCTCCCTGGAGAAAAAGAAGAAACAA